CACCCTGTTGACATCAGTCTTCAAAAATCTATCAGCGTGTCTAGAAGCTTTCTACAGCTTTACATTTAAAGTCCTCCTAGGGACTAGAAAGAGCTCTAATTATTCTTACTTCAATAGGTTGGGAGCGTGGATTTTCTTAGGAAGGACTTTGATAAAATCCAGGATCATAATCATCGTATAGCTATGTTAATGTGGATGTAAATCAGCTGTGTAGTTGTACAGGTTTATTTTCAAAACAGATTAAACACATGTATGTACAACATTGGGCAATGCCAAATCCTCTTATAAAACACAGGAAAGAGTAAATCTGCCAGAGAAAGTCTGGAGTTATCATTGACCCTCCTCTTTGGTCTCATATCCACACACTTGCCTGTCGCTAAAAATGACTGCAGCCCCCACATCAGCCAGTCATGTGTTTCCACAGCCATTTGTGACAAAAACACAGAGTAGAAAATTTGAATCACCTGAAACAAATGTCACAGGTGAGGTCAGATGACCCTGTTTGCTTCAGTGCGCAGGCTGTAGACGAATGTCCTTGTCTTGATCCAGTGACAAGTTTTCCAAACTGTTGTGCTCTCTGTTGCTTATTTTGCTGTTGAAAGTGGCCCTCGAGCACAGCTTGAGGCAAACAAAGTCTGTGGTGGTCTTACTGAGGAAACATGTGCTGCACCAGCTTCCATCAGGCAGGCGTGACAGAGCTGTTTGCTGGGAGTCCGTGTAAATGAGTTGGCGATATACGTTTCACAAGGTGGCTTTCACTAGAAACACACGTAAAAGAAAGCTGTATATTGATCATTTGGTGAGAATGTGGCCAGGGACTTGGAGGAGCTTCGCCTTGTAGAATACAGAGCAAGAGGTCAATGGGACTCCGTGCTGTCAACTAAATTGAACATATTAGTGCAAAGGAATGAGAACTGGCTGTGCTCTCATACATCCGGGTCACGAATAAGCTACTAAAATATTGTGTAAAAGGAGGACGCTTCTCAGTTGTGGACTTGATAGTGAAAGGCCCACTTCTGGCCCTCTTCTCTCGTGTCTGCCTATTGTCCAGGTCCGTTCCAGTGCCACGTCGCTCTTGTGTCACTGTGTAACAAGAACACCCAAGTCCTTGGGCTCCTGGGATTCAGCCAGTGCAACTCATCCCTATCAAGGGCCTTCATTTACATGTTTTCCTTTGCCTCAAATACTTTCCTTTCTGTGAGTAATACTTCATCCTCGTCCTTCAAGTTCAGCTCAAAGAACTAACTCCCCAGCCATCAGTAACGAGACCTGTCTCCCTTGTGTGTCATTTAATGCCAACTACTGTTTCTTTCTTCATATTTATCACACACATAATTAAATGTGGAAATTTTATCTATGTTCATTAATTTAGACATCTACCATGGCTTAGGTATAAGAAGTACATGATGACTTGCACATGTATATTTTCTGTTTTTTGTGAAGATATGATGAAAAGGCTTGGTATCGCAAGCACAGGAATAAAATGTGCTATTTATTGCTGCTAAGATATGCAGCGCTCAATGCCTTATTTTATACTTTCTGTTTTGCAGGGTATTCTGAGCAGAAAGTAACACCATACAATGAGCTCATCTTGCCTTAAAATGAATGACAGCATGCACACGTTATCCTAAGGCCACTAACCTTCTACACCTAAGACTCCAGGCTCCTGGCCTACAGCACAGCAGGCTAAGAGGTCTACTGCTTTGCCCTGTGTTGCACACCGTCGCGAAGTCCTCACCCACACCTAAGTACAACTGGCAGTCACTGTCCACATCAGACAGGAGCGTAAGTTTCCATGGAGACGCAGGTTCCATAATGGCCAATTCTTTCAAGTTATAAAAGACAAGTTTTTTTGTTTTTTCTTCTCAGAAAAATAGCTTGGGACACTCACAGCCCCAAATCTGTGCCCAGTCACTGTGGCGCTCGCTAACTCTTCATGTCATTGTCTGACTGGTAACAGACAAACGTCACACTCAATGGTAGTCCCTCGTGCTCGCTGTTTACAACAGAGATCCCTGTAGCTGTCTAAATCTTGTCAGGCACATTGTAACATGCTTTCCAGCTCTCCTTAGCACTGTCTTCATGGCGTGGACACCTTGCTTGACCTATTTGGGGAAAAGCATTTGAGCTCCGGGAGACCATATGGGCAGCCAGATGGCTGCTGGGACCTAATGCCATTACTCTGAGGATGAAATAAGGGACAAACATAATTTGCATTATTCCCCTTCCTTCCTGCACACCTTTTATTAGTTTCCTTTTTAATTCAGACATCAGAGGGGAAGATCATACCTTGCCACCAAGGCCCAGATGCCAACTAATTACTACAAGAGACTCCAACCTTGATATCACAGGCCAGGCCTCTGAACACACTCCATCCTACCCAGTGACCCCCGCGGTGGTGATTAATAGGCTGCGTGCTAAGCCCTAATGAGTGTGTCAGATCTTAGATGTTCTCCAGGCTGAGGCAATTAGTATTATATTGAACAGAGTATATCAGTTACTTAGTAGAGAGACTTATTATACTTCATAGTATTTTCTAAGTCTTTTCATCTCAGGGTCTTTGAATTTAGTTTCTAATCATTAACTAAAAAGTCTCCATAAATAGAGATCTTACAGACATGAGAAGAAAACTGAAATATTTCACCGACTTTGCCTACAATAGTATATTTCTATGTTGGACTCAACCGAAGTGGTTTTCACAGAGGTTTGCCAAAAGTCCAGTTTCTGGACTCTGCCAACAGACATTTTGATAAAAGAAGGTCTGCCAGGAAGCCTAGAACTATGTTCAGATAACAAGAAACCCATGATTCAGAAGCAGCGTGCCTGCATCGCACCCAGGATGGAACACTGTGAAGTGAGCAGCAGCTCAGGGTCCGTGTCTCTGAGTAACGGGCCCGTCGCTTGCATGTCCATCCTGCTGTCCTTGGCTGAGCACATGACTGCTGGCGTATCCAGTTCTAGCTGAAGCTCAGGGGTGGGAAGCAAATCTCTTTGTTTTCATAGCAAATATGCTTTTCCCGGTACCTCTGGCCCCTCCCTCCAGTTGGGTGGAATATGTACAGAAGCCTTTATCCCAAGAGCGCCTGACATCTAAAAGGCTCCACGTAACCTTTCATTCCAGGAATGTCCACCGTCACCCTCTGTGCAGCCAGAGGGAACAGACCTAGGGGAAGCTGAAAAGCCTTAAGAGCTGCTTAGCAACGGGAAACATTGCCTGAACAGGAAATTAACGTGGATTCCCTCAGACACTATGATCTGGAGGTTGTTTGCTTTACCCCCACACAGGAAGTGAACTAAGACTTAACTACAAAGTTTGCCTACGTTTGTCTTGCTTATGAGTTGGTCATCTAGCTACTCAACAGAAAACTATTAATATATTCTGAAGTCCAAATTCAATAGATTTAGATGAAATCACTGGAGGAATATGTTCCAGTTATGTTTAAGAAGAGGGATAAAAAGACTATGTATCTTAAAAATCAGCACATCTTGGAGCTTATGAGAAGAGGATTTCACAGCTGCTGCTTCTGATATTCTCGGGAAGTATTAAGGGGTAACTGGCACTCGGGCAGGAGTGCAAGACCCGGGCACAACACCCGCTGCGTCTGCATCACCCACATCACACAGTCACAGTTCCGAAGGCAACTGTTCAGAAGAGGGTCTTAGAAAATGCCGCAGAAGAAGAGTTCTCAAGGACATACCCAAGTAGCTTTTAAAACACACCTGCTGGTGCTGGAACAAACACGGATCAATTCAAGCTAGCCAAGGTGCAAGGATTAATGTCAAATCTGGCGTGCAGAACTGGACAACAGACTGACGCGCGCACACGGTGACCGGAGAGCAGAGATTTTACCTTGGCAGCACAGTGGAGTGAGAATATCATAGAAAAATCAGTATGCCACTAAACAAATGACATTTCTAGGGCTGTACAAGGCCTGACCGAGGCCCGTCCTCTGTCACTTTCTAGAGGCACAGCGGGCGATGTGAGGATATCACAGTGAGCGAGTGTCTAGGGTCTGAATATCTGTCTGCCACTAATGAGCTGTTTGACAGGGGAAACTATTTTATCTCTGTTTCCTCAGTTATACAATAGAGAAAAGATAAGGCTTAACTCACAGCTGACTAAGAGAATTAGGCGGCATGATGCATAACACGAATTTAGATAAACCTCAGTTGAAAAAATACATCCATGACTGCAAAGAAATTGCAGTAGGTGGTCTGTATTCTTTCTTTTAAATGTTTATACTGTGAGCTTATTATAGTAAGTGAACTATTCATTCAAAAGTTAAAATTCTAAAATACAGATGTTTTAACTAATGACTGACAATCTGTAAGACTGTCTGGTCTGCTGCGGAGAGTGATTTAACGAATATATTTGACATAATAATGCTCTAATAACTCTAACTTTTTTAACACTCAGAAATGATGTGATACTTTGATTTGTTCATTATCCTTCATGAATTATATCTTCATTTGAACATCAGATAATACAAGATAATTGTCAGGCGACCAATTAAATATCATGATGTCATTTTACAGGTACTACAGAGAGATTGGACTTATTTCAATACCACCAGTCTGAATGGGAACACTCCAATTTTTGCAGGTTCTTAGACTGCCAGCCACTTGAGTTTCTTCCTCATTCAGAATAACGCATTTCAACCAGCGGTAGCAACAGAAGGAAGTAACACCAGCACTTCAGTGTAGGCTTTATTCTGAATTAAATGGAAAGATACTTCCCTTGGATATTCTATAATTTAGCAAAATGTAAGTCTTCATTGAAAAAGACACTACTAACAGAATTCAGAGTGAAGTGACTGGTTAAAGATACGGCATCACTAAACTCATTAAGGAATCAGTTCTAATTATACTTTTGTTTGGTTTTAAGTGACTATCATATGAAAACAGGGCTTTCCTATATCAAGAAACTGCATGATGAAAACATTGGCACATAGAGAAGCCATTGCCATAATCCAGAATTCTTTCACTCCGAAGAACCTTACCTCCAGCGTACATGACAGCCAGCATGATGGATGATATCCATGCGATTTCACTGTAGGATGTGTTGAATATCTGCTGAATTTCTTTGAAAAATACTGTGATGGCTTTGGGGAACGCATATGAAAATCCAATGGAGATAAAGGAAGCTCCGACCACCACCCAGCCCCACCCCCCATCCGGGGGCGGGTGGGTGGGAGGGGCGACCGCAGGTGGTGGCATTTTTGTTCCTCTAGGGAAATTCAAGTCACCTGTATGAAAAATAAAATGACAGGTGAAAGCATATTTTTATCTTTATCACTCTCGATAGTCACCGACAGTATTGTTCAGGGCAGCTACAACTGTAAACTTCTCATTCATATATTTTAATATTTGTACTCAGGACATTTAACAAAAAAAGTGAGGGAAGTAACAGATGGTTAAGGATTAAAACTGAACAGATTTAATTTGCTTAGGGTGACAAAAAGATTTAAGATCTGTATTGACTACCAACCCCCAAATGAAAGCTACCTCAACCTACCCTAGAAAACAAACACACTAACTTCAAGGGCCGGACGCCCTCATGGTGACACAGTGGACACAGAGTGAGAGAGTGCTCGGAAGTGCTTCTTCCAGGGTCATCTGTGTCGGGTGAACACGTCTCTACTGCTCTTGGTTTGACCAATGAGCAAGATCCAATTCATAAATTGTTATGAATTTTCACTTTATCTTCTGGTGCACAATTCCGTAACATTTATGCAACATATGGTTGTGTCTTGTTCCTTTCAATGTATGCACAGCAAGAACAGCAGTTTGAAGGATAATTTTACCTGCTGATAGGTGTCCACTTGAACAGGTGTCTTTAGATTACACGTGGAATCGTTACACTTAGTAGCTGTTTCTTGAAGGTAAGACAAATGAAGAGAGGTAGAACAAGCCCTGAATTATCTGAAATAATAGGAAACAAGAAACACATGTATGCTCATTAGAGCCACAAGCTCCAGCTTACCCCAACGGGTCAAGTTTTAATTATTAGCAAATTGAATAGACATGAATATAAAAACATTGGGTCTAAAACGCTGAATAGCAGCCTCCTGCCCACCTTTTGCTTTCTCCATCGCCTAGGGGACCTGTGCTTTCACAATATAACCTCTGCATCTGCATGCATGCGTGCGTGTGGAGTATACTTGAACTGTATTTGTAACGTGTTCATGAAAAAAACTAAAAAGTATAAAATGGAAAATTAGGATTTTCAAATAAATAACAATAAATTACAAAGTTACCATTATGAAAAGGAAGTTTATTTCTTTGATGATGTATATCCAGAAACCCGTGAAATCATCCAGTATCTGTCTTATACTTTCTGACTCAATTTACTTGTTGCTAATTCTCCACTAGTACACCAACTTGGAGGCTGTTCTTTTCACTTATAAATGCATTCTTTCATTCTTTCATTTCATTTGTAGGATGAATTTCCAGATTTCAATTCCTGCACATGCTCTCACCTGCCTTTATCTCAGTATTTAGATACTTGTATTTTTTTAACTGTAATTGAGTTCTTAGCCGCGTTTTACAATACTGTGTCATTTAGAGATATAGGACCACATTCTGTAAGTGTATGCTGTCACACATATTTTTAATTCTAAACCCCAAAAGTCAAAATCCTTAAAAATTCATGATTCCAACTTATTTGCACCTGTTTCTTTGGTAAAGTTTTTTGAGGAGGTAGACTACAAAATATCATTATCACTAATAAAAGAATGATTTGATGATTACTCATTTCAACAATTTATGCAGTGAAAAGTGCTGAAGCTCAAGAACTTTGTCTAACCTTACAGAGATCGATATGGGATAAATAACCTATAGAGCTGATGACTTAGGACAAATAATGAAAGTATGACCTATGACCCATGGTTAGACTCTTGAGTTACAGTCAAAGCCCTTTCTCGTTAGGTTGTACATAATACCAGAATGTTCTTTTACATACACTGTGAGTGATCATTTCAACTTCCTAAATCTAAATCAGTAGGCAACAACTTTATGACCTGTTGTCAATTGTCCAAGCCATCCCAGCTGTTAACATTTCAAAACAATCCAGAAATAATGTACTCAGCAAACTAAGTTCCAAGTCAAATCAATAGCTGTTAGGAGACTATCGACTTGACTATAAATTCTTCTAGATGGCCTATAGATAAAGCATGAGTGGTTCTTTGCATCCTATCTATGAGATGGCCTGTTTTCTCCTAAAGGAGTTAGTACATTCTGAAAAGAATAATGGCGGGTGTTTTGCTCATTATTTTCTCTCCCTTCCACAAGAGTATATAGTCATGTCAAATCAATGTATCCTGCTAAAGTTTAAGTGAAAACTCACCCAATTTTATAACAGGCATTAGACTGAGCCAAAGCTTTTCTTTTCCAACATGTAATTGAATTAAAATTGAAGACTAATCCTGGGATATATTTTATTCTTCACAGCGGACCACCTTTTAAAGCCTATTGACTGATTTCCTTTGACAAGCTATCCATAGTGCATGCGTGGCCCACAAATGTTAGTAACACAAAGCCTATTTTTATAAGTAAATTATTGTCATTGTTGAATGACTTTGAGAATAGTAATTGATAGTGTCAAACTAATGGAAAAAGTAGGAACAAATGCAAACCAGTATGTATTTATCTATGAAGAAGTGGAAATATATACCTCATAATAAACAACGTTAAGTCTTTAAGAATGGGATTTGTGCCCTTATAAATGAGAAGCAGAGAGAGACCTCACCCTTCCTGCCATGTGAATGACAACCATCTATGAGCCAGGGGCTTCCCAACCTCCAGAACTGTGAGAAGTTAATGTCTATTGCTGATGAGACTTCAAGCCATGACACTGCACTAGTAACCCTAACAGAGTAAAACAGAATTGTTACTAGGAGTGGGGTGCTGTATAACACCTAAAAATGTAGGAGTAGCTTTGGATCTGGGTAATGACAGAAACTGGATAATTGTTGAGGTACATGAGAAAAAAAAGACTCTTGCCATGGACTCGAGTATGACATTGGTGAGAACCCCGAAAAGAATGCTGTAGAGATGGACTCTATCTTCTCAGACAACATGGAGCATCTTGAACAGAGGTTGTTAGAAACTGAGAGGGTGAAGACCATTATGAGGAGGCCTCAGAGACAGAAACTAAGACTATGGGGGAATATGATGTTTGTTATAAAAGTGGCAAGGAGCTTACCTGGACTGGGCTCATCTTCTAGTTCCACTAGAGAACTTGTGAGTAATGAAATCAGATCTTTAGCTGAAGTTATTTCTAAGTAAGTGGGCTTGTTTCTCCCTAACTCCTTATAGCAAAATATCTTAAGAGTGAAATGATTTAAAGACAGAATAGTTCATCAAAACTTAAAGATTCAGAGTACTCTCAGCCCATGAGAAAATATTGTCAGAAGAGAACAGTAAGTGTGTGCAAAAATCCCACTTTCTAAGACATGAGGGTCCTCCCACACAACCAGGACAAAGGAAGACTAATCCAGAATACAATCCAGAAATCATAGCCCGCCCTTCCCATCACGGGCCCAGAGAACAAGGTCCCTGGTGCAGAGCAGCTTCAAGGCGTGTGGGGCTGGGGTGTGCTGCCCTGAGCTGCCCCAACGCACAGCCGCTACCCTCTGGACTACAGTTTTCAAAGCCAAACAATCCTTGCTAAGAGGGAAAATGTGACTGATGATGCCAGAACTCAAACAAGCTACTGTAGCTTATATGGGTGTCCAAGAGATCCTGTATCTCTACCTGTCAGCATTCCTTGACTCATTCCATGAAACAACCCCTAAGAATCTTAAAATAATTGGGAGCTTAGGTGGAGAGATTTTTGCATTCTTTATCTCCTCTCATATTTAGTGACCTTCTCAGATCAACATGGAGAAAAATTACATGATATTTAAGAAATTTAGTCTTCAAAGATTTTTTGGTAGGTTGGTTCTTTCCTTGACTTGGGAAGGTACAACGCAAGGAGGGTTGAAACTCATTTCTGGGTGTTTCTTGGAAGATCGCAGGGTGAGGGGGTGCTTTCCCCTTGTTCCTATTAAAAAGCTTGTTTTAAAAGTGGAGTAAGAAAAAAAAATCCCTAAGATACCCTGATACCAATGATGAGCTTCAGAAATATACTAGAATCCCCTAGAAATTTCTGGAGCCACCCTGGGGGCAGGATTAAGAAATGATGCCTCAGCAAGGTGCATCAACTTGGGTGACAAGGATTTCCATTCCTGTAAGGTAAGCTCACCTGGTCTATTGACCTTTCAGCCTTGCACCAGACAGCTGGGGTTTCCGGTGAACCGTTGTTCTGTTTAGCTTCCTGTATATAAGATTCCCATCTGGGACTTATTCGTCATCCCCCACTCATGATTCTGGAGGCTCTGCCCACTGCCTCCCTGAGCAAACCAGTTTATAGCATGGGAAATTAACTGTCCAACTTGGGAAGTGGTTGAATGTATCATTGTACTCAATGTGATAAGTCTACATACATTAAATGATGGCTATGAACAGTTTGTAATAATCTGGGAAATATTCATGATATAATCACCACTGGAAAAAAGAAGATAAAAATTTGTTTGACAGTAAAACTCAAAATATGTGCTAAGGTAGATCCATAAGGAGAAAACACAGGAGCTAAATTGTTAAGGTGTGGGTTGCAGAAAAATTATAAGCCCTTACTTATACTAATTTTTGATAATACTACTATCTAATCTATCACACATTTGAAGTTAATATTACACATTTAAAGATTTGCCTTAATTTTAATTTAATGAATTTCCTTAATTTTGATTTTCATATCTGCCTTGAAAAGTAACTTAATTTTAACTAGTCTATTACCCATTCAATATGGTTATATAAAATAATGTAGTAATAGGCCCTCCCTGGTGGCGCAGCGGGTTAAAGCACAGCACTGAGAATCTAAAGCCACTTCTGCATGAGTTCGATTCCCGCCTGCCCTGGAGGTGACCACATGGCGTGGCAGATCTCTCCTGACCCGCCTGCTGCTCCCCTCAGCAGTGTACTTCATCAATCTGCCTGTTCTGTTCCCCACTCTGTCTCTGGTGAAGCCTCTCACCGCCCCTGAGTCTCTGGCCTGTACCCCAGTTCTGTATGTACAAATAAATATATCTTAAAAAAAAAATAAAATAATGTAGTAATATTAGAAAATTTTAATTTAGAGATCCTGTATTTTTAAGTTCCTTTTTTTGGCTTTACACTTATTTGTTTATATATAAAATTTGAGGATTTTGTAGGAGTTCTAAAGCACACATTTAGAGATGACCCTCACACGTAAATATAGGTATATATATTTGCTGATTACCAATTACCTCTGTAACATTTGCCATCTTCTGTTATGTTACAAGGATCAACTGACCAAGACACTTGATACTTTAACATGCATTTTCTCATGATTTTATTGTTAGTTATTGCTTCCCTTTTGTAGACAATGAAACAGAATCTTTACCACATAAAGTATCTCGCTTCAAATCTACTTGTGTATCTATTCCGCTGTAGAACTAGGTTCTTACAGTGTTAAAAGCTATAGATTTCATGCTACAACCATGCCACTTTTCAATCAAGAGCTGTTGGAAATGTTCACCTCACTACCTCGCTCCACCCTGCAGAATCTCCCCTCTTCTCATACTCACTTGCCAGGGTTTTCTGTCTTTCACCTTCTACGTGCCTCCCCAGGGGCTTTAAAAGACTATGAGTTAGTAGCTGCCAGAAGTGGAAGAAGAAACAAGAGCAGGAACCCACTCTGCGAGAGCATTTGAGTGGATTCCAGGCACTGCACCAGTGGTCACCAGGCTGACCACAGCAAGGGAAGGGCTGTAGAATCCCTAGAACCTAACACAGGCGCAGGTATTTCTTCAAAGGCATAGTTATGAATGAATTACATCAGTAAGTTTATTTTTGGTTAATAA